GAAAATGGATGATCTTATATGGGGTCACATGTATTGACGAAGTTTAGTGTGGGGGATAAGCCTTTTAATTAAGTCTCTCTTTCACACACCCTGAAACATAATCTAGCACCAAGAACACCGCCTTGTTGTGCTTGCGTAGGTAGCTAGTCTTAATTGATAAAACTGGTTAACCACATAAATAAAAAATTTCTAAAACCGATTAGAGGACGTCTAATTTGGTTAGGCAGGCTTTGCATATGATGTGGTATAGCCTCCGTCATGATAATGAGTTTATGTATGAGATGGTTATATGACGTAATGTTAAGTGGCAAGCGCGTCACTACATGATGGCTAGAGCCACGAGATTGCCACCTTAATGTAAATATCATAGAGATAGGTTACATGTGATGGTGGCAAGACGTACATGGAAAACCCCGTCAAGGAGAAGATGTACCTAGGCGTGTGACGAGGAGCTATAATTTCGTGCCACGGCGGAATTTGAGACTTTGGTGCCATGGCAACATTTTTGAAACGGTTGCCATGACAACGTCTTTTGAGATTGTCACCATGGTGACGTTTTTGAAATGATTGCCACGGCAATGAAATATTGCCATCACGTTGCTTCAACTTAAGATTGAAGACTATCATGGAGAACTCCCGGCGCCCAGGGCTATACCATATCATGCTTTTATGTATTGCCTGAGATCTTTATCCCTTTATAGTTTTCACCTTTTGATTGTGCAATAGTCAATTATTAGGGTGGTCTCTCACAATAAAATCAAGATAAAAGGTGCTCTTCCCATTGTTGCAACCGTCTATAACACGTAGCATTCCGAAGTGCGTCATGTCCACATGAGTACAAACGAGGCGTGAAGTGTAAGACATGGATGGTCAGACCATATGTGCAAATAACACTCGGTTGTCTTGAAGTTCTAGCAAAATCGTTCTGAGCTCAGAGCACAAATCATCGAAAGATAAACAAGAGTCATATGGAGATATGATCGGCAAAAGTTTGCCCACCGGTCAAAAATTCACGTCATCAGTGATGTCCACATCAATGGCTGAGAACTAGACTTGGATCTTGAATCACTCAATATCAATTATGAGAGATATTGATTTGAGTGGGAGCACAATTATATATTAATCAAGTTTAATAACCAGTGCAAATTAATTATGAACAATGTCTATGTGTAGTATGCATTACAGTTGTAGACTTATGGCTCACAGTTCCACCTTTGTTTTTGAAATTGATTGACTGTTATTTATCTGGTTGAACTTTATGTTTGAGAGGATTCTCCTCTAAAAGTGCTAAGAAGGATTTTGTCCTACTACATGTTTACAATACTCTCTTGCTGATTCTATGGATGATGAGACTCACGTCCTTCGATCCAAAAGCTAGAATTGCATTACGGTCTGCTTGCTTCCAAGAAACCTGAACTTGAAAATGTTTGGGATAGTTATGTGACATTTTTGGATCTAAAAATTGTTTTGATAAACAAACAAAGGCTAAAAGATATGCGATATCTAAAGAAGTGTTTTGTTTGCAAATTCTATTCACGTGTTCAACTATGTTTCAAACTGAAATGCGTAACATCCGGAAGAAAGCCAGTCATATCTTGATGGTCAAAACTTGTAGAGAAAGAACAAAACCAAAGGATGTAATGAGACTTACATGCCTAGGGAAGTTCGGGGCTCATGCCATTCTTAAAGTTGTTTCTTCCGAGAGTAAGAGAAATATTGAAGTAAAAGTATAAGAAGTAAAAAGCAAAAATAAGAGAAGACTGGAATGTCCAGCTCAGGTATGAATGTCATACAAGTTAGGAAATGCAGAGGTGGTTGGTCAAGTAAAGTGTAGTTCTTGGAAGAAATAATTAATTTGTTGATCACTGATTCTTCATTATTATGGTTAAAAGGTTAATCACAAGGATATCAACTAGATTGCATGTTATTGCAAATCATTGCAAAAAACTTCGAACGACCTAAATGACCAACAAATAATGAGGTCAAAATATTTTGATGGATTGTAAAAGGTTACAATATTTCTATCAGTGTATTTCCTCTGTGTTTATTATCATATTTCATTTTAGAGTTTTTTTAACACTCCAGCCCATTGCATATAAGTTGCAAGGAGGTTCTTCATTACAGAACAATAGTTGTTTGATGTTATCTAGGAGGTTATCCATGACATAACAATAGTTGTTCGATGTTATGAACAAAAGTGTCAAGCCTCCTCTAGTTGATCTAGTGCACGTTCTAGTTGGTCCAAGTTGAGTAATTAGAGCTAGCCCTAGCCACCTCTAATCTTATAATTAGAAGCCCCTTGTGGTTCTAATCTCCTCCCTCTAAATCTCCGGTGACGATTAGCTCTTGACACCGAAGCGCTGCCGGATCATGAAGATTATACGCTTGCAACCAAGTAGAGAGGCCATGCTTTCGGTGTTCTGTTCGAGGGATCGTTCAGGGGCGGTTCGCGGGATCGCCATCGACGTTTGAGGGACTCCAAGTATGATCTACACCGACTCATCTACTTCCGCTGCTCTTCGGGAGTCGGTAATGATCGTTGATCACAACCCATTATGCATCTTCATTTTGTTCCTGGGTGATCGTATGCCGTTTTTTTTGTTTTCTACTATGTTCCCCAATAGAAGGATACATAGCACACATCTGTTGGAACGTTAGCATCCCTGATAACATGCCGAATCGAGAAAGAGCGGAGTACTTAAGACCTTTCCCTAATTTCATCAAAGATAGACGACCACAATTATTGACCTGTCCAGTGTGATGGATGCACCCAAGACATACGTACGCGTGGAAAGAGATGATGTACCAGTACTGTAATGGTGGTTCGTTTCGTCTCACGCAACACCCAATGGAAGGGGGATTTTCTCGGGTTCAAGGGTTCATGGTGCATGCCGCTTTCTGTGTGCATGTAATCGCTGCACCGCTACATATATATGTTTCTTGGTTAATGTTTTAATCTCATAGTTTAGTTAGGCGATGCTTATGGACATGAAATGCTAATTTGGATTAAAATCAAGCAAGTCAGCTTGCATCTATCAATCTCAAAGGCACATTTGCTTCACTCAACTTGGAGAAGTTCTCTGGAGAGCAGGCACAGAGCAAAAAAGTGGGACCAAAACATTTTGGACCCTTGTGCCGTCCACCCGAGGGTAACTAGGGTTTCCCGATGCCGCCACCCCCTCGCTCCCCCTACCAATGGTGGAGCCAGGTATATTGTATGTG